GCTGAGTCACCAAGCCCAGCTTCAGTTAATTTTCTTAATGCCTTTTTAAATTCTGTAAAGCCATGTCTTGTTAACCAACTCAGTCACAGGAAACTGACCACACATTACCCATACCACAATGAAAACAAAGCAATAGTTAACTCTGCCTTTCTTAGTAGCTTTGATTTTAAGTAGGAACAAAAGTGAAGCTGTTTGAGGTATTTTGTTTCTTCCATATTGCCTTACTAGATATGACAAGTAATTATTGCCTGATTACAGAGCCCTGCTGTGAAATACACAGCCTAGGTTTATGCTATACCTTTCACCCAATTTAAAAACATACTGATTAGTATACCAATCTAAAACTTATGATTGCACAACTATTAATTTTAGATGGATTATTGACCTAAACATATGAGCTGAATTAGTAAAGCTTTTAAAAGAAATGTAAGAAAGGATCTTCTTGAACTGAATGTATCCAGTAATTTTATAGCACAACAAAGTAATAATCCTAAAAGAAAAATTGATAAATTATGCATTATCATATTGAAAACTTCTGTTACTTGAAATCAACATCATGAAAAAAGTGAAAAGGCAAACCACGGACTGGGAATATTCATGAAATGTCTATCTGACAAAGGGTTCATATCCAAAATATATAAAGAATGCTTATAAATCAGCAATAAAATGGAGAACTAAAATAAATATCTGCAAAGACATGAAAAAGACAAAATCTTAGAAAATATAAGAATGGCCAATAAACACATGATAAAACACTTAACATTTCTAATCATTATGGAAATTTAAGTTACAATCATAGTAAGAGACTTTTGGATACCCACTAAAATGGCATAAATTAGACTGAAATTAGACTGAAAGTTTACACCAACCACAAACAAAGGAGAATTACTGCTGCCTGGGTTTTCAGAGGACACACTGAATTCAGAATATATCGACATTCTGTAGGTGATAAATTGAGGAGTTTAAGAGTGAGATGCTTGGAAAGTGCTAATTTTAGACCTTCATGAAACTTCATGACATATTATAATTACAACCATGTTGTTAAAAAGACTTGTATGAAATAATTAGGAATTTAGTCCTCGTTCTTTTCATGATAGATTGGAGTTTTTGATTTATTGTTTGCCGTGGATTCTTTGGAGATTTTAATCAACAGTGTCATTACATGTAAGTCTGAAAAAATATATGGGCAATTTTCTCAGAAGGCTAATTTGCCATTGTGAACCTAACATAGTGCGTAATACAGCAGTTTTAGTTTTTTAGAGAGTTCTGACAAAGATTTGTGAAGTTTGAAAGTTTTACATACCAAGGAGGAAAGTGTACTTTCAACTTGTTTATCTTCCTTGTCCTCTCAGAGGGCTTGGATCTAGAATACCAGATTAAAGAGTGAGTATGAGTTGGGGAGATAAACTATTATGTGAGAATTCTGTATTCTCATTAGATAACAATGAAAAAGTATGTGTATGCATTTTAGATCAGGAAAAAGACATCCTTTTTGAAGTAATTGATTATATTTTACATGGGAACACTGCTTTAAAATATTCTGTCATCAAATGTCAAAGTATGCTTATTGTATTAAAAGGTACATTTTTTATGAGCAAAGGGAATAAGAGCCTAACTTACTTTGATTTTGGTATCAGTTCTGTAACTAGTATCTGTATCAGCATAAAGACCTATGCCAAATAGTATTGAATATATGCGAAAAGACTTTTATAAGGTAACCTTGTTCATGTATCCATATATGGATAGTATGTCATTACAGCTCATTCAATTAAGAACCATTTTTAAAGTATCCTGCTTTATGTTAATGTCAGGGAAGACAGAAATAGGGTGTTCCCTAATTTATTATTTAAGTAACATCTAATGTTTTCATTTTTTCTCTAGTTCTAGTTTAATGAATTCTCTGCTAGGATCTGGATTTCTAATTCTTCTCCCTTGATAGTTCATTAGGATAATCCAGAAATGGAGTCCTAGGCAAAGAGTCATGCAAAAATTCCTAGTCTAGGATATATGCCATGTTCTTGTCAGATCTGTGATCTGCTGTAATTTGCCATCATTGACCTCTCTTCTAAGCTCTAAACTGATATTTCAGCAGACTTCTAAACAGCCCACTAAAAGTCAATATTCTTTTGACATCTTTAATTTATCTTAATCTTAAACTAAACAGTATGCTTTACTGTTTTCAAACTACTTCTCTTCCTTTTTTATGACTTCATCATTTGTCCAGGTATTCAAGCTGCAGATCTTAATCTTTATTAATTCTCTCTTCTATGCCTGATTAAGTGACTTTATGTTGTGAAATTTCTCTCCTTCCCTCTCTAGTCCCACTTCTTGTATTTGTTTTTTCTGATTGATATATGTTTTCTTTGCCTCTTTAATTTTTACTCTTTCCATTTTATGTGCCTCTCTTCATCATGTGTCATGATATTAAAAAAATGTTGTGTCCCCTATTTCTCAGTTAATTTTCACAACTCCTACCGTGGACTTCAGGGTCCCAAACAATTTGACTTCAGCCTGCCTTTCTTAGTTTAAGTTCCTCCACAACCTTTACAGATTCATGCTACAGTGTTACTGGAGTACTCCCTTCTAGGAACACTTGTATGATCCTTCTACCTATAAAACCCTATTTTTCTTTATCTATTAAATCCCACTTTATCTTTGGGGTCCATCTTAAGTTTAACTCTGTAAATTGTTTCCTACATATCTGTATAATAAAGCAGTTTTAGTTTTTTTAAAATGATCTGACAAATACTTGTGAAGTTTGCAAGTTTTATATACCAGGAGGAAAGCATCAGAAATTAAGCAATTATTTCTTGTACCTTTATCTAGTTGTGCGTTCCTTTGTAATGGGATCTTTTGTTTCATGTTACTTTTTTTTTTCATTAGACTATATTAATATCTTTAGAACCGTGTGTTCTAGCTACAACAGATATACATGGTATTTTACATTTGGTAAGTTGAGTTTGATTCCATACATGGATTCTCAGTAAATCTGTGTGGTTTTTAGAATGGAATTAGCTTTCTTATGTTGCTACTTTCTGGAACCTTAAATATAGAAAATTATTACTTCAGATCTTCCTTAATATATAGTTATTTGTAGAGTTTGGATTTAGATTTGGATGGAGCATGGACACATCCATATGTTGTCTTCTCACTTTGTGTTGCAGATTGGAAATCTGGTTGATTTAAAAAGAGGACATTGGTCGTGTATGTTATAGAGGTAGCTAATAGTCCATCTATTCTCTCTTCTTTTTATTCACCAGCTGAATGTGGAGACTTTAAGATAGTAAGAGAACCTGGGACCACAGAGTGAAAGGAGATTGCATTTCTGAATCACCCCATGGCAAGACCACCTATGATCAAGGAACATTGGGTAGATAGATGAAAAATAAACTAATATTAAACCACTCTGATTTAAGGGTTCCTATAGCATCTAGTACTGCCCTAATCATCAGAACATGAATTATTTTTATTGATGGCCACTATTGTAGAAACAGTACATAGATAGACATCTTGAAGAGAGCAGGCAATGGTTTGAGAGAATTGAAACCAGATCACATGAAAAATCACTAGTGCAGGTGGCAATATCTGATCTGGAGAAGAGGACCCTTAGGGGATCTGGGCTGAGAAGGATTTGCTGTTGTTGTTGTTGTTGTTGTTGTTGTTTAGATTTTAAAAAGACTGTTTTTTGTAACTCAAGAAGACAGAGTCAGCTTGTATACGAACAAATTTTAGCTCAAAGCAACAAATAACTTTCTTGCACAGTGGGTCAAACTCTGAGGAGAAGGTATTTTCTGCATATACATATGGAGGTGTTTATTCTGTCTGGGAAACTGTTTAAGCTATCTTATTAATACATTATTATAATTGTAAAGAGTGTTATAATTTATTAAATACTTTCAAACCGATTATTTTAGTTGATCTTCACATTAGTCCTTTGAAGTGGCATTTTTCTCATTTGCAGAAAAACTTAGAGAAGTAACATTACATGATCACTTCTATAGCAGCTAGTCCTCCCTCTTATCCTTACTTTTGAGTTTTATCAACCTTTTGTTTTCTTCACAGCTCATATTAAATTCTGAAATTATGTTCTATGTATTTGTTACCTATTTGTGATTGGTCCTACCTGCTGGAGTATGGGCTTCTGTGAACATAGACTTTTCATCTATCTTTTGTACTCATTAACCCAGCTCTTATAACTACCAGGTGTAAAACAGGCATTCAGTACACACTTATTAATAAGTATATGAATGACTTGTCCCCTCATCCACCTAAGAGATGTCAGACCTAGACTAGAAACATGGTCTTCAAAATCTATATTCATTGTACTTTCTGTTGGTAGTAGAACTTATAATGCTATAAGTCTCCTTCCCAGTGTAATATTTCATAATTCCTGTTATTTAGGTCAGTAATCCAATCTATCCTCCCCATTTGTTTTTTTCTTACAGATTTGTTGATTTATTTGCTCATTTATTCATTGATTGAATTATTTGTTCAATAAGCATTTGCTAAACACTTGTTAGGCCCTGTGCTAGGTGTTAGGAACACTAAAACAAGTAGAAAACAGGAGTCTGAACGCCAAGGGTATACTTCCTGTTAACCTCTATGGTCTAGAAAAAGGAGGGAACAACAATGAAAATACCTGATTACTATGGAATTCTGCCAGGCAGAAAGAAAAAAAGAGCATACTTATTGTAAAAATAATAGTTAAAACAAAAATAAAAGTTAGTTGCAAAATAGGGATGCCAAGAGATATAGAGAACAAGATACAAAAACAGAGGTTGAGAAAAGGCAAATAAAAAGAGGCTGTATAGGCAAAGTGGTTTGTAAATTGGGGTTTATTCATTCATGAATGCTTGAGTTTGGCTGTTCATTTCATAAATATACTGAGAGCTTCCAGAGTATAAACTTCTGTTATGTAAAATAGAAGCAACAGATAGATTGACAGGTAACAGAATTTTTGATTGTACTAAGAAGTGACATAGAAAAACAAAGCTGCTATAATGATGAGAAAAATTAAAATGAGTCTAGCAGTAGCAGTGGAGCAGGTAAACAGCACTGAGAAATAGACCCTTGTGTAATACTATTGGCGTGTATGCTTTGACAGTGTTTCTCAACCTAACTGGATGAAGGAGCATTTAAAAAAATCTGTCATGAGTTTATATTTATACAAAATATAGTAAAAGTTAGTTACTAGGAAAATGAGATAGAAAATAAATACAAAGTGCAATCTCCAGTGTTCCCATTATTAGGTCCAATAGATATGAAAATTAACAAATTTCTATACAATTTGCTAAAGATGAATTCTAAATTTCTATACTGTAGTAACAATAGTTTGAAGAACCAGAGTCCTCATTTTGGACTACACTATTTCTATAGCCCTAAACCCATCAGTGAAGGTGAATAGTGATAGCATCACTGGTCACAAACCACTAGGAATAGCATAGCCCATTTATGTAGGCTTATTTAACAAAATGAATGACCGTAGATTTACTTAATGTGCCCCTAAAAGCATTGCTGTGCTAAAGAATTATTTGTGTTAGAAGTCTTCCTTTCAGGAAAACATTAAAGTATGTTATGTAGCTTTTAGATACTATAAATAATAACTAGATATACCATATTCAAGCTGCTTTTATTATTTATAAAGCACTTTTGCCTGGAACCTCAAAAGTGCTCAGAAAAATATTAGGAAATATTATCTGTAAGTGTAACAAAAAGCTAGTAATCTAAATTTGTTTTCTCCAACTGATCAATGATTTTACTTAGGATATATTTTAAGTAGAATGCTCCTTTCAAATGGTAATTTTAGGTTTATTCTTGCACAAGCAAGCTCAAGAATTAGCTCTTATTACTATACTATACTATACTGCACTACACTACACTACACTACACTACACTACACTACACTACACTATACATACTACTATACTATCAGAGTTAAGGAATGACATTCAGGAATGTATTTTCTAAACATTACATTGTCATTTCAGCTAGTGTCGCCTCTTCTAATTTAGTTCTTGTTTGACCACTGAGGAAATTTGACCCACCTATCATAAATTACATAATGACTTCCATTAGTCTGATTTGCTAGCATAGCAATTCTTTTTAAGAAAAAAATGTTTTCAAAGTTATTAATGACTCTGAAAAGTTTATTCTGTATTTTAATTCCCATTTAAAAAATTTGTGCTATGTTTGCCCTCCAAACCTAAATTGAATATTTTTCACAGAATTGTATTTATCATTTTTACGTCTAATTATTTGCCTGGTATAATTATTTGACTTGTCTTTGCATTTTCTTATGTGTGTATTTTAGATAGGATTAAGCATTGTTTTTGATTCTGAGAAATTCTGTGTGAATCTAGACTTACATAGAATACAAAACTTAAGTCTCAGTTATTATTACTTATATATTTTGTGGTAAGTCTACTCGTTTGTTTCACAAATTCATGTGGTACCAATAATTTCTCAGAATCATGTCATGATTTGTACCTCAGTTTGTATATGTTTTTAAGGAAAAAAACCACATCTTTCATATGATTTTTTTCTTATTCTTGAAAAAAATAGATGAAAAGTAACATTATAATTAAAAACAGGTATAATAGATCATCTTAACTAGACATGTACTGTTTGGTCACTTACTCTCAGTATAGACTGCCTTTCTAAAAACGTCTTAAGTCAGAACAACTTTGGAAAGACATTAATCTGTTTTTAAAATATTGAGTATCAGAATGAATTTATATTTAAAGGGGGCTTGGATATAAATGGCATTCTAAATCTGAGAAAATATCTTATTTGCCTTTAGTAACTGAATAAAAAATCTATAGAGTAGCAATATATACCCTTTAGTTTTGCTTCCAAGTCAAAACACTGTTCCAGAACAGTGTCTGAATCTTTATTGGGGATATTGAGGCTATAAAAGTTGAATATTCTTAGAAAGCTCTATTCACACTCCCAAGTGTTTTGTTTGTGATAACTGGCTGATTGTTCTGTGTGCTTTTGCACTAGCACATTGGAATAAAAATGAATACGTGAACTTTGCTTATATTAACATTAGCTATTACATAACATTTTTGACTGATTTCATAGATTTAATTTTGAATGGGTGGTAAAATCTTGAGTTGAAAATAACAACTAATAAATCTTTCAATTTATTTAGCAATGTTCACTTAGGAGTACAAAAATCTATTGCAGTTTTTCGTGAAGGAAGCATTTTGTTTTTCTCAGTTATCTAATAGCTTTTGTTACTACACGCTAATAATAACAATTTTAGTAAGTAATTTTTTGAAATTTAATTTTGGAGAAAAATATTTTATCATTTTCTGATTATTTTTCCAGTTTGGAGTAATTATTCTTAAGTTAGATCTCATGTCATATATTTTGATGAATGTGGGGCTAATAAATGTATGTACCTTGACTGATTGTAAAAAAGGTGAATATAGTGTTTGGGGCTTCTAAGCCTTCATTTTAGCAAACTTCTCATGATTTCCTTCAGTAATAACTTTAATACCTCTGGGCAAATGAATTCTACCAGTTGTTCTTTTTGTTCATAGATCATCTGTCTTGGAGCCGCAATCATAACTCAGTTATCTTTTCTTGTAGCATCAGAGGCTCCTTGAAATGGTAGATACAGAGAAGGAACTGTTAAAAGAAAAAATAAAGGAAGCTTTGATTCAGCAGTCTCAAGAACAGAAGGTAATACTTTAAATGTGCTCCAAGTATGGAAAGAATGTGTTTTATTACCTCAAATAATACGTTTAGTGTCTTTCCAACTGTCTTGTCATTTACAGGAAATACTGGAAAAATGTTTGGAGGAAGAAAGGCAAAGAAACAAAGAGGCATTACTCTCTGCTGCAAAGGTATTTCCATCTATAATAATGGGCTTCTTTGTAAGTAAGTGGAGTTAAAAAACTGAATTCATTAATATTATTGTCTGTATACTTTTATATAATGTTTTAATCCAGAAAAATCAGAAAGTGTTTTCCTTTACAATTTTTTTCTTTTAAACTTTTAGGATATGATTAATCTTCTTAAATTTATATGTTAAATTTATATTACACAAGATTATGTTGGCATTGAAATGCCTTACAATATAGATTATTATTTGTTTAAAAGAATATATATGTTGGGGTTTCCAAAAAACCTGGAATTATTTTTGGGAGGTTGAGCCCCTTGTAGTACAGGCTTTCTCCACTAGGTAAGTGTTCTAGGACCTCATCGGCATCAGTGTACCAGCTAGTGTTGTTGTGAGAGACCGTGTTTGGCTTCAAGTGAATGTTTTTTGGAGCTTCTTTCAACACTTTGCCCATTTCATGATGGGTGATGTACAAGCACACCTGCCCATACCACACTGAGCATTCAGCAGTTTTTGACCAAAAATAGCATGACCCTTGTGCCTCACATCCCTATTTCAACAGATTTTTTTTTTTTTTTTTTTTTGAGTTGGAGTCTCACTCTGTCACCCAGACTGGAGTGCAGTGGCCGCTCCCGGCCACCACAGCCTCGACCTGCTGGGCTCTGGCGATCCTTCCACCTCAGCCTTCCAAGTAGCTGGAACTACAGGCGCGCGCTACCACACCCGGCTCATTTTGATTTATTGTAGAGATGAGGTCTCACCAAGTTGCCCAGGCGGGTCTCAAACCCACGGGCTCAGCAATCCACTCACCTCAGCCTCCCAAAGGCACGGGATTACAGGCTGAGCCACCAAACCTGGCTATTCAACAGATCTTGCCCCAAGCGACTTTCTTTGCTTCCTCAATGAAAAAAGTCCTCAAAGGGAAATGTTTTGCTGATGTGGAACAGGTGAACCAAAAAATGGCAGAAGCACTATAAGGCATCAAAATGAATTAGTTCAAATACTGTAAGAATACATTACACAGTTTTTTAAAATAAATATTGGGATTTGGGGGACCCCCCCTTGTATATCAAGGTAAGTGATTTTTGAAGCCAAGTTTAAAATAACTCATCTAAAATAATGTATTCATGGATATGAAATATACACATACCAACAGATGAATTTATAGCATTAACTTTTGAGTTTTAGATTTAAAATTAAATTTAGTAAGCAGACATTGAACATCTCACATGTGCATATCACTGCTCCAGGAGTAGAAATTAAAGGATGACTATGATTTTTGTCTTCCTCTTAATTTATAATTAGATATGAAAAATATTAGTTATATACCAATAAGGCAAGGAGGAATGCTTTAAATTATTATTAGTGTGTACATTGTATGTGTAAGTCATAGAAGTTTTTAAACAAATTACTTTTGAAATGAGTCTGAAAGTTAGCAAAACTGAGTTTGAATTTAACTTCATTGGTAATGGAGACATGCTGTGACATTTTTAAGTGTAGTTGTGACATAATGGTAATTGGCATTAACTTTTCTCCATCAGGACTTACTCATAGGCCTTTATTAATTTACTTTGTGTTTTTGTTTTACCATCTTTATATGAGATATAACATAATATAAAATTCATTCATTTTATGTGTACAATTCAACAACTTTTAGTAAATTTTCGGAGTTGTATACCTATTACCACAGTTCAATTTTAGAACATTTCCATCCCTCCAAAAAGAAACTCAGGTTCATATTCAGCAATTCCTTATTCCCATCTCCAGCCCCAGGCAACCATTAATCTATTTTCTAGCTCTAGATTTGCTTTCTATAATATCTTGTAAAGAAAATTAGCTAATTTTGACCCTTAAATATTGTAACACTTTTGAATCCATTCACTCATTTGACCCTAACAGCATTCCAAGGTAGGTGGAATCCTGTGATACAGACATGGGCTCTGCAATCAGACAGAGCTGAGTTTTTCTTAAGTTCCATGGGAACTTGACCATATCCATCATGTTTACCACTATACCCTCAGTGTTCAGCAGAATGACTGACACATAAGATAATCTCAGTAACCATTAGGAGATGAAAGAAAGGGGAGAGAAGGGAAGAGGACTAGAGAGGAGAGGAAAAATAAACCCTGTGACTCATCAGCAAGTTTTATAAAATATGAACTTGGGAAGATCAATTCTCCAGAGTTGGGAGGATCGACAGAGATGATATGTGTCAAATGTTTGGCACACAGATAAGGATAGTGAAGTTTAGGAAGGTGAAGTTATTTGTCCAAGATGTAGTGCACTTAGGTGTTGGAAGAAAAGCTCAAACTTGGCCTGCCTGCCTGCCTGAAAAAGCAGTTAAACAGTCTCACTCACAGAACGTTTCCACTGACAAGTTAAATGAACATAGATACTTGTGATCATGTGCTGTATTATTCAAGAGAAGTGCAGTGATGGTAGAATTAGGAACTCCTGAAATATCATTTTTCTCCTTGATAATGGTAGTAGACAAGTCCTTTAGTGCAAACCTATGTTATTTCAGAGTCCATCCTTTTTTTTTTTTTTTTTTGAGTTGGAGTCTCACTCGGTCGCCCAGACTGGAGTGCAGTGACCGCTCCCGGCCACCGCAGCCTCGACCTGCTGGGCTCCGGCGATCCTTCCACCTCAGCCTTCCGAGTAGCCGGAATTACAGGCATGCGCTACCACGCCCGGCTGATTTTTTGATTTATTGTAGAGATGAGGTCTCGCTACCCAGGCGGGTCTCGAACCCGCGAGCTCAGGCAATTCACTCACCTCAGCCTCCCAAAGGCGCAGGATTACAGGCTGAGCCACTGAGCCCGGCTTCATCCTTTATTTTTTTTTTTATTTTTTTTTATTTTTATTTTTTTTTTTGAGTTGGAGTCTCACTCTGTCGCCCAGACTGGAGTGCAGTGGCCGCTCCCGGCCACCGCAGCCTCTACCCGCTAGGCTCCGGCGATCCTTCCACCTCAGCCTTCCTAGTAGCCGGAATTACAGGCGTGCGCTACCACGCCCGGCTGATTTTTTGATTTATTGTAGAGATGAGGTCTCGCTGCCCAGGCGGGTCTCGAACCCGCGGGCTCAGGCAATCCACTCACCTCAGCCCCCCAAAGGCGCGGGATTACAGGCTGAGCCACCGAGCCCGGCTGTATCCTTTATTTTTAAAATGCCCTGCCTCACCTATTACTTATCTATGACCAGTAAAATGATGTTTGATTACTTTAAATTCTCTTTGCTTGGCTGTGATTGCAAAAAGTGGTCTGGTTAATTGGAACAAATAAGGTGCTCCTGGGGAAAATTACCCCCTTTTACTTTCTGTTTGTGAAGAGGAAGGAGGATGATTTGTCCTGAAAATGGAATAACCTGTGGCACACTGGGAAGGAGAATTTTAAAAAACAGTGAGATGGAGTCCAGAATGTATTTTCTTTTGTACTTAATATAATTAATCAATGGAAGCATATGCAGTCTCATGCATCTGTTTCCCCTAATTCACACACCTAGGCTTAAAGGATGCAGAAAGAAGTGGTCTGGTATCTGAACTAAGGGAAAACTGATGTCTGAGTCAAGGAAGTAGGGGCAAGCAGGAGGACATGAGAGGCTTTTGCGGATTCCCACCTACCTTGACCTCTTTCCCCTTCTGACACACTACCACATCGTGATTATTGCCAAGCCTTTCTATTTCCAATGAGTTTTGAGAAACAACAGCCTCTGATGAGCCCTCTTTCACTTTTCTGCACTCCAGCCTCTGACACAACAGGAATCTCTTGAGAATTCTGCCCAGTGGTAAAGCTCCTTTGCCTGCCAATCCCCAGCTCCAAGATCACTTCTCAGTCCTTAAGAGTGCTGTTCTGTCTAAAACACCACTGGATTTGGGAACTGACGTATAGAATTCCTCAGTAGAATTTAAAATCTACTCGGGAAAGTAGTAGAGTAAGTCCTCGTCTACTTTAAAAGCCCTTATGAACTGCAGTGTCCAGCAAATTGGAGTATGAATGAGAAATTTGAAAGCACTCTCTGCACCCTCCAACTTGTATAACAAGCATATTATGAAACTTCTTTCCATTTTAGTTGAGTGACTTGAGCGCAGTGCGAGTCAGAGACAGGTTAGGTGTAAATGGGCTCATTTACACAATGGATACATTTCTCATAACCAGTCAATAATTAATGTTGCAAGTTAGGCACAAGAACCATGTCAGGATTTGCATCCTTTAAAATGACATCCTGGTGAGTTATCAAAAGAAAGGAAAACAAGAAATTTCACCAACAGAATCATAGGTAGATAGCATATTGTCTTCTACTACACCATGCCCACTGATTGCTCCAGTTATGCCAAAATGCTTGAATGTAGACTGAATTTATTCTAACTTTGGAGAAATTGGAGGCAACAAAGACTAGAGGCAGAGAAAGAAATAATAGGATGCATCAAAAATCTGGTTTATAGATCATGAATGTTAGAAATAGACTAGTGGTAGTAGCTTGGAAAGGAAAAAATAGATAAATTTTAGAAATAGTTAGGAGATGGAATTAATATATATGTTGATGTCAATATATAGAAGAAGGCCAGGTTGTGAACTCCCAGAGTACGGATTTAAGAACAAAGTGGAAAGTAGTACTTTCTCTTTGGAATAGAGTTTGAGGTGCTTTAAAGCAAACACTGGAATTTTGGAAAATTTGTATCTGCTTTCCATTACTTTAGAACTTTTCTGATGAGATTTATAGTGATAGTAACAAATGTGATTGTTTAATTTTGATTTTAAAAAGTGTCAGCATCTGGAGAAGATGTGTAACTCAGTGAGTCAATAATTTTCAAATAAATGTTTAAAAAGCAGCATTAATAAATGATTTAGTAGTGTAAGAAAAGATTGTAATGTAACAGTATGAAAATTATTTGACATAATTTTATTTTCCTTTTTCTAGCTACTCTTAAAGAACTAGCCCTTGTCAAGTTGGTGTGAAATCATCAAGAATACACACACACACACACACACACACACACACACACACACACACACATTTATTTATTTATTTATTTTTATTGGAGTCTCACTCTGTCACCCAGACTGGAGTGCCATGGCACGGTCACAACAATCACTGCAGCCTTGACCTCCTGGGCTGAGGTCATCATTCCACCTCAGCATTGCAAGCAGCTGGAACTATAGGTGCACACTACCACACCTGGCTAATTTTTTTATTTTTTGTAGAGAAGAGGTTTCATTATGTTGTCCAGGCTGGTCTCAAGCTCCTGGGCTCAAGCAGTCTGCTTGCTTCAGCCTTCCAAAGTGCTGGGATTAGAGGCTTGAGCCACCTCACCTGGCCAATATATCTGAACTTTTCTAAGTTGGCTACTCTTTTTTTTCCTATTACATATCTGTGTGAGACTGGGTGTCTTTATATGCTTCAACCAAAACAACATATCATTACAGACTTAAAAAAGAAGGCAGATACAAGAATTTACCTGTCTTCTATTGTCAGATATTATAGAGGTTAAAAAGATATACATAAATGTACCAATGCCATTCTTCTCACTTTTTTACTTGGAAAATATAGTTATTTTTTATAAAATATATTATTTATTATAGATAATAAATCCATTGTTATTAAGTTTAAATAAATTAATGAATATCTTTATTTTTCTTAAATAAATTTCTAATATGGTAAATATTAATATGTATAACCAACATAAAAGGATCTTTAACATCCTCCATAATTTTTAAGTTTGAAAAAGGATCCTAAGACCGCATAGTTTGAAACCAGCAATTTAAGCTAAAACTGAATTTCTTTGAAGTTTAGAAATATTATGGAAATAAGTAGGAATATTTGTATAAAAATAGATTTTTATTTTATAACAGTGATTTACTATACATAAAAACGTCAGTGTCAGAACTGAACTCTTTAGGATAGAGGTTTTTGTTCTTTAGGTTAACCAAGTCTGTCTTATTCAAGGAATCATTGTGTAGTCACTTTTTCAAATATCTTTGTTCTGGTCATTATTTATTTTGAAGCTAGAGAAAGAAGCAATGAAGGATGCAGTTTTAAAAGCCATAGAAGAAGAAAGAAAAAATTTGGAAAAAGCTCATGCAGAAGAAAGGGAATTATGGAAGACAGAGCATGCAAAAGATCAAGAAAAAGTATCTCAGGAAATTCAAAAAGCTATACAAGAACAAAGAAAAATAAGTCAGGTTAGTAAAATTAACTCTGTGTAAATATTTTCTTTTTTCTTATTTTTCTTAAAATGAAATACATTTACCTTACATTACTTAAAAACACCTAAATGGATATTGTCACTTTTTAATTTTTACTTTCTCATTTTAATAATATTTTGAACTTATTTTTAATATATCAGTATACTTTCATCTTTCTGATATTGAAAACCCAGTAACTTACTATTTTATCTTTTTACTTTATTTTCTAAAAGGTAATAATCCAAATTTATGTTTAGTCATTGCAACTACATTAAACCTTTTGTTTATTTTTCCTTTTCACAAACACACACAATCGATACAAAATAATATATTTGCATAGGAAAAAATTTGATGCAATTGTAATTCTAATTTGTAAATCTCTATACTTTTAATTAGTTGCAATAATTAATAAGCCCTCACAGATATTCCCTGTGGTCTTATAAAGGTTATATAAAGGTCAACAAGCATGCCCTACATACAAAATAATTTGTGATTACTTATTTGAACAATTAAAAACTCTAGTTTATTTTCCATAATTGAGTTTGGATGGTTTTGTCTTACTTAGATTTAGTCTTTTCTTTATATAGGCAAAGATACATGAATAAATTTTCCCTTAAACAAGTATAAAAGGCAAAAAATAACATTCATAGTAATCTCTTTCTTGTGGTCAAATTGTTACATATACTACCATAGTTCATTCAACTATGCATTACAAATGTATCTAAAGTGACTAACCTTTGAGAACAACGTAGATGTTTTTTATGACTCTTGATAAAGTCTTAAAAAGCTAAATGTTTCTTTTTTGTGTTTTTTTGAGTTGGAGTCTCACTCTGTCACCCAGACTGGAGTGCAGTGGCCACTCCCGGCCACCGCAGCCTCGACCTGCTGGGCTACGGCAATCCTTCCGCCTCAGCCTTCCACATAGCTAGAACTACAGGTGCGTGCTACCACGCCTGGCTAAATTTTTTGATTTATTGTAGAGATGAGGTCGCACCTGCCCAGGTGGGTCTTGAACCCACAGGCTCAGGCAATCCACTAACCTCAGCCTCCCAAAGGCGCGGGATTACAGGCTGAGCCACTGAGCCTGGCTAAATGTTTCTTATATCCCGGATAAAAATTACATTTTTTTAAAGATGTCAATTTTCATATCAGAGACACATAGTTACCCATTTATTATAAAAATAAAACAGATTTAACAGATTTATAGGTAACATATGTGGTAAGATTACAATAATGTAGTAGCAGATCTTATTTTTTTTTCTTGCTTTAAAATCAGAGTAGTGATTACCTTCTAATTCTTACTGTAATATATCAATAAATATATTGAGCCACATAGTGTATATAAAATGTTAAATTTTGTGTCAGTTCAGTTGGTTAGAATTCAATGCCAGTAAGGTCAAGCTCATTGGCTAAGTTCTTATTTGAAAGGGTTTATTTACATTTTTTTGTGTGACCACAGACCACTCCTCAAACCTCACATAGATGTGGGCCATTAATCATCATAAAGAGCGCATGAATAAATCAGCACATATTCATCACCCAAATGGAAAAATATATGTCTTAAAGAGCATACTTCTTTACTGGTTTGTCAGGATTATGCCAAAAGTACTGCAGTATATGATATACAACTTTTAAAGTTTATCCCCTGCAGGTTAAGAGTATGGTGAAAACAATACATTGGTGACTTAAATAAATAAATACTTTGTGTTTATTTTCTTACAAATGTTTGCACATTTTGCTAGAGACTGTGTGTGTGTATGTAATTGTCATGTTTTTTAAACTGAAAATTTAATTTATCTGAGTATAGCCATTGCTATTCTCTTTTGGTTACCATTTGCAAAGTATATCCATTTCATCCCTGCACTATCAGCCTATGTGTGTCCCACTGCTACAGTGAATCTCTGGTAGGTAGCATGTTGTTAGATCTTGTTATGTTGTTGCTGTTTTCAATGTAGCCATTCTATCTTTTGAGCTGAGAGTTTAATACATTGACAAATAAATTATTGATATAGAGGAACTTACTATTGCTCTTCTGTTAATATTTGTATATCTATCTTATAGTTTTATTGTTCCACTTTTCCTTTCTTGTTGTCTTTCTTTGTGTTTCATTGACTTTTTATTGATATGTTTTTATTTCTATTTTTCTTCTTTTTTTTTAGATTAGAAAATATAGTTTATTTAGAAAGTAAATTGGAGAGTGAGAGCATGAGAACGAGGAGATTCACCTCCACATGGTAGGGGAGGGGGCCAAAACCTGGAAACATGGCCCGGTCATAGCTCAGAGGGCACATGACCACACCATAGGTTAGCAAGGCGATGGCCTCTATTTTTCTTTTGTGTTTCTTCTGTAGATATTGTCTTCATGGTTATCAAGGGGCTTACATATAAAACATCCTATAGCTTCACTAGCCTATAACAATTTAACTTTAATTACATTTAACAACTCTGTACTTTTGCTTCTCCCTCACATACATGCACTATGTTATTGAGGTCACAGTTTATATATCTTTATATTATGTCCTCACTAACGTATTTTTATACTTTTCAGTATTTTGTATTTGTATATATATTTATCTTTACCAGGGAGTTTTGTACTTTGATAGACCTTCATATTATCTTTATTGTCTTTTAATTTCAACGTAAATAACTCTTACTAACATTTCTTATAAGGCAGACATACTGGTGATAAATTCTTCAGCTTTTATTTGTCAGTATAATATTTTACTTTATTTTTGAAGGCCACATTTGACAGGAGTAGCATTCTTGCCTACCAGTTTTGATTTTTCTTTTTTTGACACTTTAAGTATACAATTCCATGCCATTATAGCCTTCAAAGCTTTTGTTGAAAAAAATGCCCTTGTATATGATAGGTTCTCTGACTGCTTTCAAAAACATGTCTTTGTCTTGAACATGTCTTAATATGTCTTAGTGTGGATTTTTTTACTTCATCTTATTTGAGATCTATTGGACTTTCTGGATTTCTATGTCAATTTCCTTCCCCAGATTTTCGAATTTTTCAGACATTATTTACTTGAATAAGTTTTTTGTCCATTTCTTTCTCTCTTCTTCTTTGAGTCTTCCATGATGTATATATTGGTCTGCTTGATTAAGTTTCTTAAGTTTTTTTTCACTATTTTTCATTCTTTTTTCCACTCTGACTTTATAAATTTCACGTAGCATGTCTTCAAGTTTGCCAGTCCTTTCTTCTGCTTGATCTAATATGCTGCTGAATCCCTGTAGTAAATTTTTTAGTTGTTTTTTTATTCTTCACCTTTAAAATTTATGTTTGAGAGGCTCAGGGAAGATGGGGCAATGGAGTCAGGCTGTGCAAGTCCTGCATGAGTGAGCAAGTGAACAGACAATTTTGTGTACATGTCTGTGAGTAAGTGGGTGTGTGAGTGGCTGACTGAGTATGGACACAGGAGCAAGTGACCAGGGCTCTCCTGGTGAGGTAGCTGGTGCTGCAGCTGTCCTGCTTGGTCCCTAGTGCATCACAGGGTGAAGAAACTGAGCACTGATTTTTAAAATCAACAAAGCCCTTCCCAGGAAAAAACTGCTAGGAGCGACTGCCAGCTCCAGGCTCTGCCTCACTTCTGCAGCACCTAGCCAGACATTGGCAGCAAGGGCCATGGATGGAGCACAGCAATGAAACCAGAGGCAGGACCCCACTGGAGAAGGTGAAACAGGCACCATTCCACAATCTTGAAAACTGGGCAGGGAAGTGCTCTAACTTGCTCACCACAAAGCAACAGACCCAATCTTAGTGACTGATAGGTTAACTACTCGGGTTGATCGTGACCCAGAGGGAATATCCTGAAAACACAAACTTCAGAGGAACAGGACAAGTGCTGAATCTCAGGTGCCCCACCCATTACCCAGATTCAGCCAAGGGACAAAGGGTGCAACTAGAAAATGATGAGGAAGACCTCCAAAAAGATCAGTGAGGGGTACACTCACATACCTATTGTATCATAATGTAGTGGTAGAGGGGAGTCTCAGGAAACCCATACCCCAGTCAGTGAACATTACGATTTGCAAGTAGTTTCTGAATCCTAGCTCCCCATTCTTCATATTATTCAACTCTCAAAACTACAAGAGACAACAAAGTTTCCCACCCATAGCCCTGTTGCAAAATAGAACAAATTTAGAGCCCTGATCAAGGAAGAATAGAGGACTGAGCAAACATCAGAAACCAAAGCCCTGCACACTGCCACTGAATAACAGAACCAAAGAGAAAAGAAAGAGATCTATCACAAATGAGGAAAAATCAGTGGAAGAACACATAATTCTCAGTGTACCAAAAGGACAGCGCTTGAAAAACCAGACCTCAGAGCACAGACAATGGACATCATGAATGACTGGTCCCAGACTACAACAGGGATTAGGGAATGGATGGCAAGAGTAAGACTCAAGAAAGACAAGATACAAAACTGAAAGAACTTATCACGGAAATTTTGGCCATAAAAAACTTCATCCAGAAAATAAATAACAAGATGACCAACATGAAAAGCAGAAGAAAGAATCTCAGAGCTTGAAGACCAAAACATGGAATTAATCTGATCTGTAAAAAATATAGAAAGAAAACTCAGAAAGAAAGAACAAGACTTCCAAGAGATGTGCAATTATATCAAGAGGCCAAACCTATGCCTGATTGGTATCCAAGAAGAAGAAAGGGAATTGGGGAACACCGTGAAGCAAATACTCCAGGAGGTTATCCAAGAAAACTCTCCCTATCTCACCAGAGATGTGCCCATCCAAACACAAGAGATACAGAGAACCCCCGCAAGACATCAAATGAGAAGACCAACCCCTATACACATAATAATATACCTACACAAAGTAGGTACAAAAGAAAAAATCCTAAAGGCAGCAAGAGAAAATGGTCAGACTACCTACCAGGGAAAACCCATCAGAATAGCAGGAGACCTATCGGAAGAAACATTGCAAGCTAGAAGGGACTGGAATTCAATTTTCAAACTCCTCGAAGATAAACAATT